GATGAAAATTGGAAGGTGAGCTGTGGTCAGAATGTTAGTACCTTGAAGGCCAGACCAAACACCTCACATTTTATCTCGTTGGCCGGGAGTGATTTTTTAAAAAAATTATTTTAGACGATCCATGTATTTCCTGCCAGATAATACTAAAGGGTTCTTTGTTGGGGGCACAGAGGTTTAAAACAAAATTGTTAGAGCCTACTGCCAATTAAGAGTCTTTTCGATTTCTATGTAAGTGAGTGAGAAATTACAACATGAATTGCTACAACCTGAAGTGAACCTAAGAAATCATTAAGTTTCGAGCATGAATTAACCTTCAACATTTGAATCCCCTTCTGTTGTTTCACAGGTGAAAACACTGACAGTTGGACTTTGTTCAATGGCAGAACCTCAGGAAGCTGCAGAGAGATGAGTTAGGACCCCTCTTTGAGGTCACTGCAGAGCGATGAGTTAGGACACCTCTTTGAGGTCACTGCAGAGAATGAGTTAGGACACCTCTTTGACTTCACTGCAGAGAGATGAGTTAGGACACCTCTTTGGCTTCACTGCAGAGAGATGAGTTAGGACACCTCTTTGACTTCACTGCAGAGAGATGAGTTAGGACCCCTCTTTGAGGTCACTGCAGAGAGATGAGTTAGGACACCTCTTTGAGGTCACTGCAGACAGATGAGTTAGGACACCTCAGGACACCTCTTTGGCTTCACTGCAGAGTGATGTTTTGGGAACTCTAGGACTCACTTTGGTTCTCTGTGTCTTGGCTTTGCTGCAATGAAGATACCTGTTCTGTTTAGACATTCTGAGGACAGCAGACACGATTCCTCTTGTGTGCGCTTGAGTACCCCAGTGCATGCTGGGGAGGCAGAAGTCATTAAGCAGCAAAAAGGAAAACAGAGGCAATAGATTTATTCTCACACATTAGAAAGGGTTTTACATTTTGGCATATGTTAAACAGCTTCAAGATAAAAAACTATCTTTGGGTATGAAATCGTACTTTATGGCATGAAAGAGAAAGTCTATGTATTAAAAATGGAAATAATGACTATAAGAAAATGATCAATTATGTGCAAGCTTGTAAATTAGCATGTGAGGAAGTTATTTTACTTTTGCTATACTTATTGAAGTAGGCATTACTATAAAAGTTTTAAGGTTTGAGGAAGACCCCACAAGTATAATTTATATGTTTTTGTACTCTTATGAACAGTATTTTACCTTTTTTTTTAAAGGTGGCCACGGGAGAGGACATTTAGATTGACCCTGCATTGCCCATTGGTGGGATGGACTCTGTACATACGTCACTTGTCTACATGACACAGCTTGTGCTAAAGGAAGCAAGTAGTTTTGGGGATTCAAGACAGTATGAAGAGGTGTCTTACAAAGTCTCAAAAACTTCCCACTCTTAAACCAGCCAATTGCTGTCTTAATGGCTGTATTATCAAAAGTGTTTAAGAAAATTTCTTTTGCCTCCAAAACAATACAGGGAAACCCTGTCTCGAAAAACCAAAAAAAAAAAAAAAAAAAAAAAAGAAAAGAAAAGAAAGAAAATTTCTTCTGTCCCAGCAGCATTTTTAAAAGCCTAATCCCATGTTACTTAATGTAACAGGGAGGGAGACATTTACCCAAGTTGACAAGTCCCTATAAAGTCAACACTTTCTCATGGATACTAATTTGCTCTTCAGAACAGGGTAATTAAAGGGTGATTGTTTTCTTTGGAAAATAGCAGCCCGGATTATTTAGAGACTTGTAGGTTTGTTGGGCCAATTGATCATAAAGCTGCTGGAGAAATAATGCCAAGAGGATTAACGTTCCAAACGCTTATTAACCTAAAAAGACAAACACATTAGATGGTCAGGGTCCTTCCAGAAAAGACCCAGGATCTGTCACCTGGCTTAAAACAGCTTTCGGATGCAGACGCCTAACAGTTCCAGCGCCCAGGTCTGGCCAGCCTCAGCCAGCTGAGAGCAGAAAGAGCTTTCGGTCTCCGTGCCTGTGATGGGAAAGGAGAGCGGGTCTGGGACTCTGGACTGTGGTCAGGTCTGATGGAGGGAGGGCGCTTAAGGTGTGGTGCACTAGAGGGGACACACCCTGGAGAGCAGGTGGTTAACCGGACAGAAAGGCGCTCATCGGAGCCTGCCATAGAGTGGCATTGGAAGGAGTGATTGGCTTAAAATTAGTGTGTTTTGCTGCTTTCTAAAATAAGGAGAAGTGGCTGGGAGTTTACTGGGCCAGCCATTTCAGACACAGACACAGGGACATTTTCCCCAACAGCCACCTCCATTTCTTCTCTGCTGCCTTCAAGGTGCCTAGCACCCGCTGCCCACCTTAGAAACCGTTTTTTGGATATGCTTTATCTTCCCGGTGGACTGTCACCTCCTTGAGGGCGGAGTCCATGGGTCTTTTAAAGGATGTTGACTGTAAAAAGGTGTCTAAATAAAAGGTGATGTGCGTGCCTGGGGTCCCAGCATTTTGGAGGCTAAGGCTGAAGGGAGGTTGATGAGTTTGAGGCCAGACTGGGGGCACATAGTGGGACCCTGTTACAAAAACCAAAACCAAAAGATCAATCTAGAACTGGGGAGATGGCACAGTGGTCACGAGCGCTGGAGGATCTGTGGTCCAGTCTCCAGCACACATGTAAGCCGGCATGGCTACACGCACCTATAATCGCAGAGAGAAAGATAGATCACTGAGGTTCGCTGGCCACCCAGACAGGGGGAAATGGCAAGTGCCAGATTCAGGGAGAGACCCTGTCTCAAGGAAGTAGGGCGGAGATACAGAGCAGACGGGAGGCAGTTAGTTAGCGGTGGACTTCCGTGTTCTCTTTCAGGCTCACCCACATGTGTACACCACACACACAGATCACACCAGAGCCGCACAAGAGCAAGGCACGCCGTTTGTATTAGTACCTAAAACTCCCGCACTGCGCTCTATACTCAAGGGCCACTAAGTTGCCAATATCCTTATGTTTCACGTTTTTGCATTGTTTTAGAGTACTGGAAACTGTATTTACATTTAGGAAAATTCTAACTTTAAAACTTTCTATACAAGCCGGGCGGTGGTGGCGCACGCCTTTAATCCCAGCACTCGGGAGGCAGAGGCAGGCGGATCTCTGTGAGTTCGAGGCTGGGCTGGACCGACAGCCTCAAAAACAATACAGAGAAACCCTGTCTCGTAAAACTAAAAACCAACCAACCAAACAAACAAAAAAACCAAAAAACAACTTTCTATGCAATTTCTTTAGGGATGAGTTTGGAATCAATGAATAGAGGCAGCATGAAGTTTTATGACTTGAGAAATGAAAATTGGGATATTATTGTTAAAGAAGGATTTTACAGCTTCCTGTTAGTTGTATCTGTTCATGATGAATGAGCCCATAGTGGGCTCCCACCGCAAGTTTCCTACCTTACTCTTCATTTCCCGAGTCTTTCTCCACAGCGTGAGCCACATAATATATGCGACCGTTTCTCTAGTGTTTATCTTTGTTTTAAAATAACGTTTATGAATTGGTTTCCCAGGACTTTAAAAAAACATTTTATTTTTTCCTACTTGTGTGTGTGCAGGAGAGCATGGGTGTGTGTGTGTGTGTGTGTGAGAGAGAGAGACAGAGACAGAGACAGACAGACAGAGACAGAGAGAGAGAGAGTGCATCTGTGTGTGTATGGAGGTCAGATGTGTGTGTGTGTGTGTGTCTGAGTACATCTGTGTGTGTGTGTGTGTGTGTGTGTGTGTGTGTAGGTCAGAGGTTAATATCTGGTATTTTCCCTCTTTTCTCTTTATAGGAATTTTTCATCAGGATTGCTTTGACTTTGTTTTGTGTGTGTGTGTTTTTGTATTAATTTTAGGGTGATTTTTTTCTGTTTCTGTGAGGAATGTCATTGGTGTTTTGATGGAGATTGCATTGAAACTCTAGATTACTTTCAGTCCATTTCACAGTATTAATTTTGTCACTCAGTGAATATGGGTGGTGTGTGGTGATGGTGTGGTGATCATGGTGTGTGGTGTGTGTGGTATGGTGTGTGGTGTGGTGTGTGTGGTGGGTGTGGTGTGTGGTGTGTGTGTGGTGTGGTATGTGTGTGCTGTGTTGTGGTGGGTGTGGTGTGTGGTGGTGTGGTGTGTGGTGTGGTATGGTGTGTGTGTTGTGTGTGGTGGTGTGTGTGTGGTGTGGTGTGTGTTGTGGTGTGTGGTGTGGTATGTGTGTGCTGTGTGTGGTATGTGTGTGCTGTGTGTGGTATGTGTGTGCTGTGTTGTGGTGTGTGGTGTGGTGTGTGTGGTGTGGTGTGTGGTGTGGTGTGTGTGGTGTGTGGTGTGGTGTGTGGTGTGGTGTGTGTGGTGGTGTGGTGTGTGTGGTGGTGTGGTGTGTGTGGTGGTGTGGTGTGTGTGGTGGTGTGTGGTGTGGTGTGTGTGGTATGTGTGTGCTGTGTTGTGGTGTGTGTGGTGTGTATGGTGTGGTGTGCAGTGTGGTATGTGTGTGGTATGTGTGTGGTGTGTGTGCTGTGTTGTGGAGTGTGTGGTGTGTGGTGTGTGTGTGGTGTGTGTGTGGTGTGGTGTGTGTGCTGTGTTGTGGTGTGTGGTGTGGTATGTGTGTGCTGTGTGTGGTATGTGTGTGCTGTGTTGTGGTGTGTGTGGTGTTGTGGTGGTGTGGTGTGTGTGGTGTGGTGTGTGTGGTGTGGTATGTGGTGTGGTGTGTGTGGTGTGTGGTGTGTGGTGTGGTATGGTGTATGTGGTGTGGTGTGGTGTGTGTGGTGGTGTGGTGTGTGTGGTGTGGTGTGTGGTGTGGTGTGTGTGGTATGTGTGTGCTGTGTTGTGGTGTGTGTGGTGTGTGGTGTGTGTGTGGTATGTGTGTGCTGTGTTGTGGTGTGTGTGGTGTGTGTGTGGTATGTGTGTGCTGTGTTGTGGTGTGTGTGGTGTGTGTGGTGTGGTGTGCAGTGTGGTATGTGTGTGGTATGTGTGTGGTGTGTGTGCTGTGTTGTGGAGTGTGTGGTGTGTGGTGTGTGGTGTGGTGTGTGTGGTGTATATGGTGTGGTGTGCAGTGTGGTATGCATTCCAGGAGGAGGTGATCTGTTTCTGGGCTTCTTCTTTGGTGACTTGTGTCCTCCATTTTTCTGGTCTGCTAAGTCACCTGTCTACCACTGCTCTCTGTCACCCCTAATTAAGTTGCTCTGCCTGCTGACTCCCATTACCCTTTTGTGTTGATGTTACTAATTTTTCTGGTATTTTATTTATTTTTACTTTATGTGTTTGAGTGTTTGCCAAAATTGATCTCAGTGTACCATTTTGCAGTGCCCTAGCAGAGGGCATCTGGTAGCCTGGAACTAGAGTTAGGGACAACTGTGAGCCACCATGTGGGTGCCAGGAACTGAGCTCCAGCCCTCTGAAAGAGCAGCCAGTGCTCTTACCTACTGAATCATCTCCCCACGCCTTTTTGTTAGGATTTAAGACAGAGTCCGTCTGTATGGCCCAGATTGGTCATGAACTCATGATCCTCCAGCCTCCAACCCCTAAGTGTAAGGGTGACCTTGCTTGGCTAAGCCTTCCTCTTTAAACAAAACAACCCACTTCTGCTACTTTCTAGAGGGAGTGTAATACGAGTCAATATTGAGCCACAACTGTTACTGGAAATAGCTTAATAATGGGTTTTAAGTTATTTTTATTTAGTGTGTGTGGGGGTGTGTTGTGAGTGAGCTCTCATGTAGAGGCTTACAGCACTGGGTGAGGTCAGAGGACAGCTTGGGTTTCCTCCTTCCACTAAGTTTCAAGGATCAAACTTAGGCCATCAGACTTGTACAGCAGGAACTTTTACCCAATGAGCCATCTCCTTGTGGATTTTCTTCTTCTCGCTCAACTTTTGTTATAAAGTCTTCCAAACATGAAGACAGTAGAATGTCTACTTCAATGCACAAATGCGCTTGTGTGCTTGACAATGAACTCTTTGTATCTCCTTTGTGTGTGTGAGATATTCTGCACATGTGCGTGCCTTTGTATGAAATAGGTATATTTATGTTTGTTTGCTTTTGCTGTAGCATTTGAAGATAGATGGCAGATATTATGTCAATCCTAGAAAGTTTAGCATGTATTTCCCAAGAACAGATGTGTTCTCGTAGGGAAGCATATCATTATTATACAGAAAGAAAGTTTTTGAAAATAGGCCTGCAATATCATCTGACACCTGTGTACAAACCAGTCTACTGTTTAAAAACTTCTACTGTCGCTTTTTATTTCCCTTAGTAAGCTTCTTCCCTTTATAGTTAGTTCAATTAAACGGTATGGTGGCGCACACCTTTTAATCGCAGCACTCAGGAGGCAGAGGCCGGTGAACCTCTGAGTTAGAGGCCAGCCTGGTCTACAGAACAAGTACCAGGAGGGGAGAAATACGAGTTCAGTTAAGGTAAACATACCCCAGTTGACACTTGCTTTTTGAATAGAGCAAATCTTTCCATCTTTTATTTTATTTTGTTTTGACTTTTGGTTCTATTTAATCTTGAACATACTCGCACCCATAGAGTCAGCTGAATTACTAGACATGTGGCCCTGGTAAGGAGAAGTTGGTGAAAACTTACGGAGATAGAACACATTTTATTGCACAGCAAACACGGTGGCTGTTTTTGTACCTCCTGCACTGCTAATCTAAAGCTTAAGGAAGCTCTGGGTTGTGTGGTTCATTAGCTTTTAAAATAAAGAAACAGTATTGATGTTAGGAGTGAGGGGAATTATATTTAGAGCTCTCCAAGTCTAGCCCATGTCACCTTGTCCCCTTTGCCAGCGTTCAGCCTCATGACTTTTGTTTGCCTCATATTGAATCTGAGGCTAAGCTCAAAGGGCATGCATTTTTGTGTATGACTAAGGGCTGATCTCCGAAATTATCAGACATTCCTCGCATTCCATATGTCTAATTTTTAGTGCTTGATGGATCTGGTGCCAGAAGAAAACAGGCTAGAGAGGAGGAGGAAACACCACCAAAGAAAGTCTCCACAGAAGTAGAAAAATCCAGCCATACGTTTAACGAGCAAAGTAAACTCGTGGGATGGAATTGATTTGTAGCATGTCAATGCCATTCCTTAGGCTGCTTAGGAGCACTGCTCAGTTTTCTGATACTTGATTCCTGAAATTTCAATCCAGGAGCTTTAGAGAATCTGTGATTCCTTCCATCTGGATTCGTGGTGTGCTCAGGGCCAGCACACGGCGTTTTAGTAAAATAACTCCTCGTAAGCATTGTGGGAGTGACCTAATGTGACTGATGGGAGCCGTAGAGGTGTGGTCATGACAGTCAGATGTAGTGACCGTACTGAAGGAGTACCAACTGTTGTTTTGTCTCCCCGGGGCTTCGGGAGCCATGGGGGTGTGCAGAGAGGAAGATGTTATCAGTCAGGCATGAAGGTTTCTGTGACAGATAGCACACTCATATTGGTCAGCACTGCTAAGGAAATATGCAACTTGTATACTCCAGCGACCTCTTGCCCATACAGACCTCGAGTGGACTGACGATTCAAATAGGGAAGCACTCACCTAACCCACAAGTGTCAGGGCTGGGCTTCAGACACAGTCATCAGTCACTAAAATGTGCGCTCAAAACTCAGATCTGTCTTGGTCAAATATTACAGCCTCTACAAGTACGTCGAATTAGATTCTCATGTTGATAACTGAAGCACAGATTTTGTAAATTTATTGGGAAATAATTTAATCCTACACAGACATTGTAGGATCCCAGTCAGCAACTTTAAATGTCTGTTGTCTCCTTTGGTGTTAATCAGGAATCAGGAAACGTAAGTAAGAGGAATGTCCCCTCATCTTAAGTAAGGCATCCTATATAAGATATGTGTACAGACGTTCTGTAGATCTGAGTGTAACTGAGTTATATCTAAATAAAAAAATTACCCAGTGTTCCTAAGAAAACCAGTAACATACACGGATGTAGACATCCACTTTCTGCATGTCACGCTCCTTGACCTGGTAAGCACACTGCGGATGTGCTCTCTGTCCAGCACGAGAGCTGCAGGTTTACAGGGGCCGTCTGACTCCTTTTACCGCCTCAAGCTTTCTTTGGAAGAATCAGACTGGATTTGATCGTCTAGGATTGTGGTCTGATGCCTCCCTGGCCCTTAGTGCTGGAGTGCCTTATTAGCCCAGAGGCCTGGTTTCAGGGCCCAGGAAGATCTCAACACCAAATGCTACATGAGATGACTCAGCCAAAGCTCAGGCTTTGCTCACTGCTGCACTCCAGCCTTGGAAGGAAGCTTATTCAGTAAGTCCCACAGGCATGCGCTGAGACCAATGGGTGGTCTGGCCAGGCAAGTTTGACAGAGGTGAGACTTGCTAAACTCTAGTTTTGCATTGTGGGCAGTAAATTTCAGTCCATATGAGATTCATTTGCTTCGTCTCTGAATGCACAACCGCTGTGAGAATATGAAAAGATGAAGACCATAGAGTGGAATGGAAAGGTCAGACGCTTCCCCAGGTCATCGGGTCTTAGCGCTTCTGGCCCTTTCTACGCTGGTAGGCTAGGGGCCTTCATTAGCCACAGCTCTGTGATGTAACTGAACATTCCTTTCAGAAAGAGAGGCTTTGCGGCTGTGGCATCCCAAAACTTCCCCAAGTCCGGCACTTTGCCCCAGGCACTGGCCCACATCATTTAGTGTGTGTGTGTGTGTGTGTGTGTGTGTGTGTGTGTGTGTGTGTGTGTGTGTGTGTGTGTGTGTACGTACCTGTGTGTAGCTGTGTGGCAGGTGCCACTCTTCTGAGGTCACCTTTATAAATCTGCATCGGCCAACATGCTCCTCTAACCTAGAGCTTATCCAAGAGTACTTCATGTGGTGTTGTTTGGGCACCTTTAAAATCCCCAACAACGCCAGATTGTTATAGAACTACCAAAGAGACTGTGGCCTTAACAGTGGAGGAAATAGGTTAGTGACATGAAAAGTTTAAAGCGTATTATTGAGTGAAAAGTAAACAGAAGTAGATCGCTTATGTAAAAAGCATACCACGTATTTTCCTGGCTCCTTGTAAAGTCTAGAAAGACAGGTGATTGTCATAGAAGGAACTTCCTAGGAGAAGGATGTGGGAACTTGAGTATTTGCTACAACGCTGCAGTGTTTTACAAAGATGTATTTTTTAATTTCCTACTAGAATTTTGGCTTTTGCTTGTTTATTTGTTTCGCTTTTCAAGACAGGCTTTCACTGTGTAGCTCTGGTTGTCCTGGAACTCACATTGTAGACCCGACTGGCTTCTAGAACTCACAGAGCTCCCTGCCTTCCAAGCGCTGGGAGTACATTTGCATAACAAGGTTTTAACAGTGATCTTCACAAGTCACCAGCTGCTGTATGGAGGAGAGTGGGGAGGGACGGTATGGGCGGTAGCTCTGGAGGCAGCACTCACACTGGTGGCTTTGATCAGAGAGCTGGTGGCGGAGAGTGACAGTCTTATGAGTTTGTGTCCTGGAGCGCCAGCCTGTAGGACTTTCGTGAACTCAATAAAGGGATGTTGGCAAGGAGGCACCTGGAATGCCTCGGGGTGTGACTTAAGCATCTGGGTTGGTGACACTGCCAGCTTCTAAGACTGGATAGTTTGGAGGGGGAGAAAAGGTTGAGGGGTGCGAGTTTGGAGGGGAAATCAAATACTATACTTTATGTGAATTACTTTTGCTGTGGTAGAAACAGCTGGCTGGAAGTCACACGCTCATTGTTTTTTTCCAGAAGGTATGTCTGTCCCTTGGCATACAAAGATGAAAAACCAGTAGGACTTCTGTGAACTGAGCTAACCAAGAAATGTAAACACTGTGAAATATCAGAATGGGAAAATGTTTTTCAAAGCTTATAAAATGACACTAATTAGTGTCATCCCAGAGATGAAGACGGCTTCCTCAGCAAGGTGCTTGAATCATAAAGGCTAACATGGTGAGAAAGAGGAAGGGGCTTAAGATGGGAGAGTGGGGAGAAAAGTTGCTGATGGGGGGAGCCGCCTTTACGAGAGCGTGCTTTTGCTGCCAGTGTCTTAGGTTCCCTGGGTTTTCTCTGCCTCTTCCGGGCTCCTGTTGGCGTCACAGGGCTCTGCTCTGTGGATGTCCTGCTCCTGAGCTGTGAAATTCTGGAATGTTCCCCTTCTTTGTCATCCTGTCTCAAGCTTCTCTGCTGTTAATGAAGGTATCTTGTTGGAACTAGAGGATTTTTCTTTTTCTTCCCTGACATTGCCTATTTGTAGAACACGATGTCAATAATTTTTGTCAGCCATATTAAATGCAATGTTAGAATTACTAAGTTATAACGTAACTATCAATGGGCCAGACCAGGAAACTTGTAGGCAGAGTGAGCAGGTAGACTTCGTGTGTGGAAGGTGCTTGTGAATGTGGCCTCAGGCAGGTCGTTTTCCTTACCTCTGAAGGTCACTGCCCTTTAACGAATATGGAGTCTTCAGATAGGTAAGAAAAAAGAATCAGTGATTTATCTTTTAAATATTGTTCTGCTTTCAGAGGAGTACAGGTTTCTAACTCACTGTCCTTGGGAGTTTCAGCACATGGCTAGCTAGCTGTTGGCTTTCAGGGTGACAATGCAGGAAAACCTTAGTGAACAGTCTGGTATGTGTCAGGGCTCACCTCATGGCAGCCGGGAAGCAGAGAGAATGCAAGCTGCTTGGTTTTGTTTAGGGTCCTGACCCTGACACTGCGCCTTTGTGAAGAAGATCGTTTTGCGTAACCCGCCTCCTGCCTCTCTCCTCAGGACTGCCTCACCGGCGTTACTTGAAGAATTTTCTGATAGTGTGGCAAGAAGACGCAACAAACATAATTTGTTTCCAAAGGAAGCACATAGGTGGCACTGTGGAAGCCCTGGCCACCATTGTGTACAGGACAAACTACCAGAGGGTAGAGCCAAACTCTGTCTTGCGTCTCGGTGTCACGGCTAAGCGAGCTTGCTTTCAGCTCCTCTGATGGGGTAGTGCCCTCCTTGCAGCTGGTATCACTGCTGGGTTTCCGGAAGAGGAACTGTTAGACTCAGGTTCCTCAGCTAACGGTTGCTTCAGTCCTTTAAAAAAAAAAAAAAAAAAGGAAAGTCAAATGTTTGTTTTATTTAGCCTTGCAACCATCTATAGATTTTTGTTTCGGGGGGGAGGTCCTAAAACGACTTCATTCATTCATTCTATTTACTTATTCGTTTATTTTTGGGAGGTGTGTGTGTGCACGCGCACATGTGGAGGTCAGAAGACAACTTGTAGGAGTCAGTTCTGTCCTTCTACATGTAGGTCCCAGGAATTGCGTTCATGTCACAGGGCATGAGGTCACTCTCGGCTCTGTAGACATCTACTGGTCTAAGACCTTGTTCCCCCAGCCTGGGTACGGTGGAGCAAGTATAAAATAGCTGTAGTCCTACATTTTCCTCATATTTCTTTTCCTGTGTCCCCTTTGATCAGTCCACAGGCGTTCAGTCCCTTTCTAGCCCGTGTCAGTTACCCCACGGGCAGTGGCAAAGGAGGCCACGCCGTAAGCTCACGGCCCCGCTCAGTTCTGCAGTGTGGTTCTGTTCCCTGGCGTCTATGCGGTGTGTGCTGTAGAGGGACAGAATCCAGGATCTTTCCAGAGTTCTTGCGTAAACTTCCTGGCAGGTTCGCACACTTGCCTTCTTCTAGTCACTTTCAGTTTTCACAGTAACTTGACTTATCTGGAGTTAATTGTGCTGTAAGGAAGAGCCAGGATTTAACTTCTGCCCCCACTACTTCCCAGTGTTTTAAAATAACCATCCCGGCCAGGCAGCGGTGGCGCACGCCTTTAATCCCTGCGTTCTGGAGGGAGACACAAGAGAATCTCTGTGAGTTCAAGGCCAGCCTAGTTTACACAGAGAGAGTTCTAGGAAAGGCGGAAAAACAGTAGGAAAGTAAGTGAGTAAATAGAAAAAAATCCCTTCACTCGTTAACAAAGTTAGAAGATGAATAGTATCTTCATGAAATACTTGCAACTTCAAGAGGCTAATAGTTGAAACGTGTCCAGAGCTGCTGTAGATCAGTAGGGCCAATTGATACAACCTTAAGAAGACAGTGAAGCAGCCAGGGAGTCGCCACCTCCTGCAGCTGGCAGACACACAGTTCAGATCCGAACTCGCTGCAGAATCCAAACCCTTGTGGGCCTGGGACATAGCAGCGCAAGTGAAAAATTCCACACCATGAAATCTTATTTCATGCACAAAAGTATTAAAATTATTGTATAAAATTACCTCTAGGCTATGTGTGTAAGACCCATATGAAGCATACATGAATTTCAGGGTTAGACTCGGGTCCCCTTTCCAGAATATCTCATGTACATGCAATATTAAAAAAAAAAAAGATCCAAACCAGAAGCAGGCCTGGTCTCAAGAATTTCAGATAAGAAATCCTTCTTGGTGAGTAGTAATTAGGTTACCCAGCCCTAGACAGTCTCCAGGCTGGAAGGATGTGGGGTGCACATAAACGCTTTTCTGTTGCTCCCGAGTATAGGTGGGCAAAGTCCACGTGCAAGAGAAAAATGTGTGAGAGTTGCATTTTTGTCTTGTCCTCTGATTTGTGTGTCTGTATGTGTGCATGTGTAGGTGCATGTGCACTTGTGTGTGCGTGCACACATTGTCAGAGGCTAGCCTCGGGTACCACCTCAAGAATGCAGTTCCTTTGAGATGAGTCTCTTAGTGGCCTGGAGCCTGTCAAGTAGGCTGGACTGGCTGAGTGAGCCTCGGGAGCCTCCCTCCTCCAGCTCCCCAATGCTGGGATCCTAAGTGCATACCACCAACCACTCCCACATTAGGTTCTGGGAATTAAACTCGGGTCCTCATGCTAACAAGGCAAGTGCTTTACCTACTAACCTATCCCCCTAGCCTAAGCATTACAATGTCTTAGTACTGACATATCTTTAAAAGCATGTCTAACATGCATTGTGGCTTTGCAACTTACAAAAAAATGACATTTTGTAACTTTAGAAATGTGCATATTCTTTGTCCAACTATTAGAAATTTGATAGTAAATTCCAAAATAAAAACACAGGTAAACTGTAATTACTTATAAGTGTGTTCACTGAAAGAAACGGTTTTCTAGGACAAAATAGGTACTAGTAGCAGGTTGCAGCCACACAAAATGGGTGCAGATAATGATAGCTTGAGGGGAACTTATATTGGACTACTTTAACCTAGAAACACTGTGTAGAGTGGCCCTGTTTTTGTGTTTTCTAAAAGTATGTGACTTTATGAACTGGGGAAGTACCAAGCTATTGCAATAACTACCAGTCTGTGGGGAACGGAGGCGCTTTAATAATAGGATATGCTATTAGTCTATGGAGTCTTCATAGTGACAATATAAAGGAGGCATTTTTTTCTTTTTAAAAAATGTGTATGGATATTTTGCTTGCACATGCGTCATTGCATCTTGTGCATGCCTGGCATCTTCAGAAGCTAGTAGTCCCTGTCTCATCCCCTGGAATTGGAATTACAGTTGTGAATCACTGTGTGGGTGCTGGGATTTGAACCCTGGTCCTCTGGAAGAACCCTCAGTGCTCTTCACCATGTAGCCATCTCTCAAGCCCCTAAAGGATGCATTTTGAAGTCGAGATTCAAAACTATGGTGTATGTATAACTTACTTATTCAACTTTGTAAAACCTGTGTATTTGTAATAGTTATGCCCATGCGTATGAGTGCATATTTAATAAACACAGTCTGAGGAAACATCCTATGGGTAACTTACTCCGGCATAGTGTGACTAAAGGGATTCAAAGAGATCCTCCTAGTTCTGCTGCTCTGTAAAAGTCGTACAGGTCCGTTTCAGCCGTTTCTCTGCCTGTTTCCAGAGGGCGTAGTGAGAATGTCGTCTCCAGATGCACAGTAGGTTTGTGTTGTCCGGACAAATCCCGTGTTGAGTGCTCAAGCTTCTCCGCTATTCCCCTTCAACAGTTGTTGCCTGGATGGGCTCCATAGTGTGGTGCTGAGCTCCAGGTCGGGGCGGGGGGGGGTGGGGCATCTCGGGGCACTTCCCTTTGTTTGGACAATAATTTAAGAAGTCCTCTTTTTTTTTTTTTCTCTGCCAACATTCCTGCCTTCTTGGCTGGCACAGCCACTTACATTCTCAAGCCATCTTTCAAAACCAAATAATCTGACAAGCAAATATTTCTTGGCTCTTAGCAGAGAGGAGAGGTCAGGTTAGTGTTTGCTTGACTAGTCTGCTCACTCGCTACATTCTGTTACGTCTCCATTGTCTGTTTTGCTTTTCATTCCGATTCATAACGAAACTATAATGAATAAATAAATCACAAATTTTGATGCAGCTGGAAGATCTCTGCTCTTCTGTCCCATCTCAGGCCTCGATGGCAGCCTTCATATTGTTGTTTGTGCAAATGCACTTACTATGTTTGTATACAGATGGACCTTTTTAAAAATTAGCAAAAAAAAAAAAAAAAAACGAAGAAGAAGAAGAGAAAAGAAAAGAAAAACCAACCAAACAATAAGTAGGGCCTTTCTTTGTAGCCCTGGCTGGCCTGGAGCATAGCAGATCAGGCTGGCCTCGAACTTACAGAGGCTCCCACACCTTTTTTCCTTCCCAAGTGCTGGGGTACATACCCAGCCATAAATGGGAATTTCAGAAAGAATAATTTGTAATCCCTAAGCCTTCCTTCTAATTATCATTTATCTAACCGACACTTATTATATCCTGACTGTACTATGAGGCGGGCTTTGTGCTTAGGGACACCAGGCAAGAGCAGGGCCGAGGGCAGCGTGGAGCATAGAACGTGCTGTGGGTCGTGGCTTACTCTGTTCGGAGAACAGGTAACAGGATTCCTAGACTGCAGAATAGCATGATGGGAAGTTAAGTCAACTTTTAGGGAACAGTATTTTTACTTTATTATTATTGTATGCATTCAGAGGAAGATGGAGAGAGAGAGAGAGAGAGAGAGAGAGAGAGAGAGAGAGAGAGAGAGAGAGAGAGAGAGAGGAGGACTTAGCACAGCCTTTCGGAGTTAGTTTTCTTACTCCACCACGGGCTTCGAGTACTGAACTAAGCCAGCAGTCTTGGACCTGCTAAGCTACCTTGCTGACCAATTCTTGTATTTATATTTTTATTTGTTTTTAATACTGCCAAATTGTGTCATAAAAGCATTGCATTTGAGTGAATGTAGCTGATTTCCCCCTGTATCATCACCAAAACTGAGTTTCCTCGCATAGACAAAGCAAAACCAAGTCAAACCTTGATAGCTTAATAGGCTTAACATGCAGCCTCAGTACTGTTGTACTTGGCATTTCTTTTTATTATTAGGGATGTTGAACGTTTCCTCATTTTTAATTATTTATTGTCTCTTGTGAAAAGACATTATTCACTTGGAGTCTTGGCTTTGCTATGTACTACCCTTTAAAACAACTTACTGAGGCAACATTTATATAACATGGATTAACAATTATCATGTGAAACCATACAATGGCATTTAATACAGACACAGCACTATGTAACCCCAGACCTGTAGTCAGCTTGAAAGAGTCCATTTATCCCTTGCCATTTTCCCAGCATTCTGAGGCGCAGATGAGGAACTGCTTCTCTGACAGATGGCTGGTGGGGGAAGTAATCTGTGTGAGATTTTTGCTTCTCTTCAGCACGAGGAAAGGACTCCTGGGTGATTTAACATGGAGAAGTCATGCCAGTGCTGTGACGTCATATTCAGTCAGAGCGTGATGTGCTGACTGGTGGTGGCTTCCCTGCAGCCGGGCATTCCCGACCTGCAACAGCAACCTGACATGGCTGCTTCAGCAGCCAAGGAAAATGCCGGAAGCGAAATAGAAATGTGAAGGGAAAGTCCATCTGGAATTATGTCTAAGCCCATGTTCCTCTGAAAGAAGGCTGTGTAGTCTCCCCATCAGTTTGAGAGAGAGAGAGGGGAAATAAGGCTGAGTTAGTCTTAAACAGAACATGTCTTGAGAAAGTCCTCTTAAGAGAAAAAGCCTAAGGCAATGTTGAAAGGTGAGACATTGTTTTTATATGTACAAATACTAGATGTGCATGGTTCGTAAGATGTGTGCCCTTCCTCTCAGAAAGACCTTATATCAAATGTCATAGTTAGACATTTAAATCAGCGAGACCACCCACATCTGAAATTGGAGTAGCCTGAGGTATATGTATAAAGAGAGTAGTCACCACACACATATGTACGTACACACACACACACACACACACACACACACACACACACACACACGCATGTGTTTGCATGCTTGCTTGCATGTGAGGTGTGTGTGAATTTACTTAATTTTACTGAGCAAGGTCTCTCCTCACTGAACCAGAAGCTCGTCTATTCCAATGGTCCAGCAAGCCAACTCTCCTGGGGAGTCCCTCTCCCCATTGCTGGATTACAGGTGGCTGCTGTCTCCACTCAGTTTCCGTGTGGGTGATGGGGATCTGAACTTCACAAGCTCTATGTCCACGCAGCCCTTCCCCCCCCCCCCCCCCCAGTCTCTTGATGCAGATTTTGTCTCAGAAGTGCTTGTATCTTTTCTAGAATGGTAGTGTTTGAGTCCTGGGGCAGCTTTTATTCCTATCAGGATACCTGCATTGCTCTAGGGTTCCAGCTAGGTCACCATTCTCCTCACTCTCAGCTTTGGGTTCTGTGACTGAAGATGACCTGCTTCATTTGTAGAGATTCATCTCCTGGTTCTAGGAATGGTGACTCTACAGTTTTGGGTATGCGCTGCTGTTGTTTTGTCCTTGAAGAAAACGAGGCAGTCGAGAGGTTAAAAGCTCTTGCAGCTCTTCCAGAGAACCGGAGTTCGGTTCCCTGCACCCTTGTCATGGGGTCCACAACTGTCCGTAACTCTAGTTCCAGGGCCCCCTACCTCCTCAGTCACTGAATGCTCATGCGCACACATACGCGTAGACAAGATTTAAAAAGAAATTTCAGATGCAACAATGAGAATTCCAGGGACCATTGAGAACTAGAAGAAATGCAGCCTGTTGCTTAGTAGCGTTAGCACGTGCTTTGCCGTGTCTGCTTTGGTGGACTCAGTGTCTCTCTGGTTTGTTGTAGGTTAACGAAGCCCTTGTCCTTCGCTGACTGTGTCGGGGATGAGCTGCCATGGGGATGGGAAGCAGGTTTCGACCCGCAGATTGGTGCCTACTACATCGATCACATCAACAGTAAGTCTTGTTTCAGTGAACTAAAGTATACGAGAAAACAAACCTCCAAAAGCCTGCAGGCACGCATACAGAAGACAGACGGTTGGCTTACAAAGGAAGTTGCCTTATTTTAAATTCTTGATTTTTCTTTTGAATTTAATTGATGTGTTTTCATTTTACATACCCACCACAGTTCTGTGTTGTGTCCCCCACCCTTCCCCATCCCCCATCAACCCCTCCTCCACCTATGCCCCCTCCCACGGGCTTGAACAAGGTGAGACAGGACTGAGCTCGCTCCCCCTTCATCAAGCCTGGGCGAGGTAATCCAGCTTGGGGAACAGATTCCCAAAAGCCATCTAAGCACCAGGGACAGGTCCTGATCTCACTGGTCCTGATCACAAACACACCAAGCTACACAACCGTCACACACATGATGCGGGCCTAGCCTCAGCTGTTAAAGGCTAGGCTCACAACCAAAAACTCTTGTTTCTTAATGATCTTTACTCAACTCCAGTGCCTACTTAAGCACCTAGGGAGTATATAACGAACTATTCTTACTGAGACAGAGGGTGAGGATGTCTGGGTTGTGTGGTTGGCAGACAATGAGTTTATAATCCAGCATAGGTCAAGGGAGCTGTGGGCCACAGGCACTGGGGACCTTTTTCTATGACTCTGTTCCTCTGATTGGAGTTCTCTTGCGTGTCCTAGAAAGAACAGGACAGAGTCTGAACTGGTGTGGCCTGGTGACTGGGAAGAGATGGACAATTGGCCTGGTGGCTGGGAAGGGCGGGCACTCATTAGTGGTTCTGGACATAGCTGTCCTCCTGTGTGTGATTTGCTACTGGCTTGTTGGGGAAGAGCTCTTGCTTTCATAGCTTTTAGATCTGTCAGGGTACTGCTAAGGCAGAGCATTGCCACGGCCATGAGCTTTTTATAAAAAGCTTTATTTTTATTTTTTCATAATGTGCCTATGTCTAGGTATATGCATGGGAGTGCAGGTGCCCCTGGAGTTCAGACCAGGTGGTCAGATCCCCTGAATCACTGGAGCTGGAGTTAGAGACAGATGTGAGCCGTCTGATATGGATGCTGGGAGCCGAACTTTGGTTCTCTGCAAGCACAGTGTGTGCTCTTAGCCACTGAGCCTTCTTTTTAGCCTCCAACCATGCACTTCTAAAAGTACATACTTGGAGTGTTTACATGGATGTTTATTTCTCTATTGTGCCCTTTAAAGGTTTATTCCAATTGTAACACACAGAAGTCAGGATGATTCAGTTTATTTCACTTAAGATTATTTTATAAACTTGAGGGAGTCCATAGTTAATTGATTGGCTATAATTGTAATACCCAGAAGTCAAGATGATTCACTTTATTTTGCAAATATTATTTTTAGACTTGAGGGAATACATAGTTAATTGATTGCCTGTTACCTTATTTTTCTTAGATCTGTTCTTGCATGAAAAGGTTTACAGACAGTATTCTTTGACATCTTTAGGAAAATTATCACTATAGAATATATCACTTAATGCCACCCAGTAATGATTTATAGCTGCCCTCTGTAGGTATGTAATACATTTAAAAATTATTTACCTTATTTTATGTGTATGGATGCGTTGCCTGCATGCGTGTATGAATACATATGTGTGCTGCTGGTCACAGTGGTGAGAAGAAGGCTTCCGGTTCTCTGCGACGGAAGCTGTGGATGCTGAGTCACCATGTGAGACCTGGGACCCACACTGGCTCATCTGCGTGCTTTTTACTGCTAGCCCATTTCTTCAGTCCTGTGTGACGGATTTTTTGAGAGGCCCAGATAGCTTATATTCGTTGTGAATTCTTACAGGTAGGTGAGATTCAGGAGCAGTTACTCTGAAGATACCAAATCAGTGTTCCAAAGTGCACAACGAGTTTGTGTGTGTCTGTGTGTGCTCATGTGTACACATACATGTGTGTGTATGTGTGGTACACATTGTGCATGCTAAAACTTTGGGCTTTGTTAAAGTTAGCTTTTAATTTGTGGGGTCTTAAAATTTTACTTATTTTTAAATGACTGTTAAGAGTCTGTATGTATATCTACACCACTTGAGTGTCTGGCGTCCAGGTAGGCCGGAAGATGACGGTATTAGAGCCTCTGGAACTGGAGTCCCCGATAGTGTGAGTTGCTTATGGTTGCCAGGACTCAAACCTGGGTCCCTTGAAGAAGCAACCAGTGCTCATAACCACTGAGTTATTGCTTCACCCTATTTTGAATTTTTCAAATAAGATTTTCTTGTTAGAGTAGAGTAATAATAAACCATATAAGAATATATATAACCTGCCTCCATCTAATGTATCACGATGGTTTATCAGTGATTGACCACTAAAAGCTATACTCTTTAAGAGTGCAGAGATGAAGTTTAGTAAAATTAAGATCATTAAACACTGTGTTACATCCTTACATAATTGCGCACGCACACACGCGCGCACACACACGTGCACACACACGTGCACACACACGTGCACACACACACACACACACAGAGGAATATCTGAAATAGCTATGTGAGCCTGAAACCAAAAGCCAACAAGTTGTACAGGGTCAACAAAAATAAGCCATCATGGTAACCAAGTGGGAACCTGCCCCAGCTTCCCTCCCCCCACCACAAGCCCTGTGCTGTGAAGCCTCCCACAAAGCTGTCTTCCTTCCTTTGTCTGGACGTCATCCTACCTACCCCATGGGTACTGCTTAATGTCTTCTCCATCTAATCCTTCTCTCCTGTTCAGTATCTTTGCCATTTTGTACTGATTTAAAAAGTTTCTTCTAATACTTTGTCTGTGCGTGTGTTTAGACATGGTCTATGTAGCCCCTGCTGGCCTAGAACTTGTTATTTAGACCAGGCTGGCCTCAGAGTCACAGCCATATACCTACCTCTTTATCCTGAGTGCGAGGGTTAAAAGCATTGGCCACTACACCCAGTCCTTCAGTATTTACTTTATGACCCTAAACCAAAGCTACAAAAGAAGAAACACTAACAAATTTCCCCATGCCCTCTGAAATCTACCTGTCCATACGTACCCCAGGATAGCTATGAATGGAACCCAGTCCAAGATCATTACTTAAATAAACGTTGCGTTTTTGTGCATGTGACTTGTTTTGCATGCTTCTTGGTATGAATCTTAAAGATGCTAACGTGTGTCAGTATGTCAAAAGATTAGACATTGCACGTGTCCCTTATTGGATTCTGTCCTCTTTGTGGCAGGCTCCCATGGTCTCAGTGACCTTCACCTCTCCTTTCAGAGACACTCTTGCTGAGACACCTAGATGACAGCTAGGCAACACTGTAATTTTGTCTTCTTGGACTTGTCACCATGGGTCATCCCTTTTTCCTGGCTCCTCTGGATTTCATGGGATCTTTCTCCTAGAGGTCCTTTTCCAATACCCTTCTAGAACTATCTGTTCAGATGTCTCTGCTCCCAGGAGGCTTCTGATGCCCTCTCCACTGTGCATTTCTCTTCCCATGGATTAGGTACCTTAGCCCATTAATTTCTGTAATTCTTGGTACCTAGGAGAATTTCAGAGCTTTGTCGTCTTGCACTGTATTTGTTTGCCTTTCTCGACTCTTCACCAGCCCTTGGGCCTCTTGGAGGCAGCAATGGCATCTTCTGTATTTATACTTGGATTCTGTCCAATGGAAGACTCATGGAAGGGAAGCTGTGTCACAGAATTCAAAGAATAACGACTGACGTTTAGAAAGGATTTAAAGTGCATTTAAGCATATGCTATACGTCAGAATGCAACATTCTGAATATATATAAAACCTTGATTATCAGAACATGAATTTTTCAGCTCTCCACTTTACTTTATTATATTATTGTGGCCCTAGTGGCCCGATGGATTTACTATGCCCCGAAGGACCCAGGTTAGCAACAAGTAGTCTCCTTACTGAGACGGAGCTGCCTGCTGTCTCATTAATCTTTGAGACATTCCTGCAAAGTAGTTTATCGGGAGCAAATGGTATTATCTCTTCTTAGCAGCTGCTCCACACATGTTGTGTTTTGACATTGTGTAGTTTCAGCATTATTTCCTCTTTATTTAGATAAAAAATGCAACAATGAATGTTCAGTTGCTTAATAGTATTGCTGCTGCAAAATATTCTTAAATATTAGCAGTGAAGGATTTGACCTTGACAGAGAAAGTAGCCTCGGGCCTTGTTTCATGTTTGCATTCCACCTTCCTGGTGTGTATGTGTGTGTGTAACACACATAAGGACAAGGCTGTTTGTACTCACCTAGAAAATAAGTGTGTGCCGGGCGGTGTTGGCGCACGCCTTTAATCCCAGCACTCGGGAGGCAGAGGCAGGCGGATCTCTGTGAGTTCGAGGCCAGGCTGGACTGACAGCCTCCAAAACAATACAGAGAAACCTTGTCTCGTAAAACAAAACAAAACAAACAAACAAACAAAAAAGAAGGTAAGTGTGCTATTTATAAAGTTTTGATACTATTACTACAACCAGGAGGAAACCAGTCTTAAAAGATTTATTTGTATGTGTATGCATGAGCCTACATGAGTTTATGTGCAGCATGTGTGTACAGAAGCCAGGGGAGTCAGGAAGAGGGCATGGGATCCCTGGAGCTAGAGTTACAGGAGGTTTGAGTTGCTACATGGATACTGGGACCATCCCAGGCCCTCTGCAAGAACAGTTATTTAGCACAAGTCCTCAGGTCGACTCCTCAGCCCCAGGAGAACAGCCCTTTTGTTTTGTTTTGTTTTTCAAGACAGGGTTTCTCTGTGCCACTTTGAGCCAGTCCTGAAACTAGTTCTTATAGACCAGCCTGGTCTCGAACTCACAGAGATCCGCCTGCCTCTGCCTCCCGAGTGCTGGGACTAAAGGTGTGCACCACCAACGCTCGGCTGAGAGAACAGCTTTTTAATAGCTCACGCTGCCACGGTTTTTTACTTTAGTGATGGAAGTGTTGTTAACACACAACCGCACAGACACCACCTAGCTTCTCAGAGCTTTGGCTAACATGTAGTCCTTTGTCACTGT